AAAAGCTTCTGAGTAACCCCGAATGACAACATATACAAAACTATTTTTGGAAACATGGGTCGTATAATATCAATGAACTGACTGACGTGTAACGTAACGGGTAGGCCTACCTAAGGAGGTTAAGTACAGGAAGATCTCAGAAATGTCCGACTCACATCAGGTAACCTACTGGTGATCCATTAATAAGTATTCTCAATTTAACGAGTAGATTATATTTTACATTAGATGTGTACTATTTTGGTTACAATTTTTATTCTAAATACTCTGTTTTTACAAACATATATACATGTCTATCATATCTATGGTAAAAAAATGGCATACTTATTCTGTAAAATGTAACATTTCAACACTTTTGCTTGTGTAATGTGAAAGTGACACCTTGTTGACTCACTTGGCAGGGCAATTACTGAATTAGGTTATTAACCTTAGAATTTGAGTAAACTATTGTCGCGTAACTAGATTGGGCAGAGTGTCAACGACCAGAAAGTTCCATAAGTAAAGCATCTATCTATAGTGGGTAAGGCCCCTGTTTCGAACCCTGGTCTGCCCGTTCCTTTTTCCTCTCCTATTACAGTGGTACTTGTGACCAGAGACATATATTATTACAGAAATTGGCAACTAACTCGCGCAGATCTAGCAAAAACATGCATGATCATTTTGTTCAGGCAGTGGAAATTAGATACACCAAGAGACTTAACGTGGGTTGCAGCTGCAACGTCACATGGAACCGGCTCTCTGAGTGTTTGTTTTGACAGCTATTCTAGCACATGTTGATGCAGAATGATCCTGATGACAATATATGGACATTTTTGAAAATATATAATGAACAAGAAAACTTTGCAAGTATTGGAACAAGCTCATATTAAGAAGCTATTATACTGTAGCTATGTTTTCCTTTGGCATGAAAGAAATAACCCTTGCATATCAAAGCCACCATCTCCACTCGTTTATTTTGAAAACACTGTATTTTCAGAGCTAAACAACTATAATTTTTCAAGTATTCTGACCTGATCATATTAAGAAGCTGGTGAGAAATATTATCAAATAATTTATATCTGAAGACTTATTTGAAATTGTCTAAAGAACAGAAAACAACACTTACATATAAGTGGCCACAACATATTTATGTGTACACAGTAGGTGATTAATTGATTACAGTTTACTCCTACAAAGGTACAAACACATCTGATTTTCTTTCGAGTGAAGTCACTGGCGGATGACAGCAGTCGGGATCAGTGATTTCAAACCTCTAACCTGTATTTTTAGGTTTAACCCTTAAATGATATTTATGACACTCAAAATACTTTGCACGACAAACCATACTATATCCACTATGGCGCAGGTGAATTGTGACTCGCGATATGACATCCGGTTACCGTGACCAAACATAAGGCAAAGTGCAAGTTGCCTATCTCTGTAATATGTACGTCTCTGCTATGACCAACCCTTGTTACAAGCATTGGGTGTATGCTTGGCAAGGGGATACCCTAACCTGGAGTGTAAATAGTTTTGTCTTCGGGGATGAAGACTTATAAAAAGGAGGGAGTAATGTAGTGGAATTGGACTGGGTCGATTGTCGGCTATCAGGTAGCTCAATTGGTAGAGTGTCCATCTAGAGTTTGGAGGGTCTCCTGGTTCGAACCCCAGTCTGGCCCGGCAATTTTCCTCCTTTCCTGTTACACTAAATTAAAAACAACAGTGAAGATAAATCATCAATTTTAAAGTTCTCAACTTCACCTTCGTAATACACATGTTTTTCTTATCATATTTTTGTGTCATAAATTTGTTATTGCGTATCAGGCATTTCAATGCCGTAGTGTAATTATAGTTATACACCTGTGTGATGATGACAGGTCAACATCTGATATCGTAACTTCACTCGGAAATGTGTAATCACATGTACTTTAGAAATATAGACTCCGATATATGTACAAAGATATATATATTGATTGACTCGTGGGAACACACTGACCTGAGACCAGATGACTTCAAGAGGTCATATACGAGTGCATGGAATGTGGACAGATGTGTTTTGTGTACCAGACTCATGAGTACATATCATGTGCCTACATTCATTCACAAGCTTGAAGTTGCTACATTTTTTACCTGACATGAATATTAATATGTACCATACACAAGCAGGCTATGGAATGGTGTCCCATGTGTACGTGATTGAGAGGAATTTACCTGTAATACCCACTTAGAAGGTCAAAGATATGTGAGATGTATTTGCCGAGAGCTTGATTTCTTTCTACTCCTGGCTTTCTTTTGTTTCCTGGTGCCTTGCTTGGCAGTACCACACTTTGAGTTTCTTCTTAACATTCAACATGTACGGTAATGACAAACTGGTTCGCCTGAGTGAAAGTGACCAGGCAAAAACGATGTGGTAGGTGCCTTAAGCTTATGCATGGTATTTCAGTTAGACAGCACTGTAAAATTGGCATCAGATCCATGCTATCACTAGAAGGCAAATACACCAACATACCCTGTAACAGTAATGATATTGTCCAGTGACAGTATACTGTGGACTTGTTCTACAAAACTGTTCATGTTGTAACAGTGATGATACGGTCCAGTGAATGTACACTGTGAACTATAAACTTTTACTGATGTTAGAGTGATGATACGGTCCAGTGAATGTACACCTTGTACTATAAAACTTTTACTGATGTTAGAGTGATGATACAGTCCAGTGAATGTACACTGTGTACTATAAAACTTTCACTGATGTAACAGTGATGATACGGTCCAGTGAATGTACACCGTGTACTATAAAACTTCTACTGATGTTACAGTGATGATACGGTCCGGTGAATGTACACTGTGTACTATAAAACTTTTCCTGATGTTAGAGTGATGATACCGTCCAGTGACAGTTCACTCTGTACTATAAAACTTCTACTGATGTTACAGTGATGATACGGTCCGGTGAATGTACACTGTGTACTATAAAACTTTACCTGTTGTTAGAGTGATGATACAGTCCAGTGAATGTACACCGTGTACTATAAAACTTTTAATGTTGTAAGAGTGATGATACGGTCCAGTGAATGTACACTGTGTACTATAAAACTTTTACTGATGTTAGAGTGATGATACCGTCCAGTGACAGTTCACTCTGTACTATAAAACTTCTACTGATGTTACAGTGATGATACGGTCCAGTGAATAATGTACACTTTGTACTACAAAACTTTAACTGATGTTACAGTGATGATACGGTCCAGTGAATGTACACTGTGTACTATAAAACTTTAAATGATGTTAGAGTGATGATACGGTCCAGTGAACGTACACTGTGTACTATAAAACTTTTACTGATGTTACAGTGATGATACGGTCCAGTGAATGTACACCTTGTACTATAAAACTTTTACTGATGTTACAGTGATGATACGGTTAAGTGCATGTACACTGTGTACTATAAAACTTTAACTGATGTTACAGTGATGATACGGTCCAGTGAATGTACACTGTGTACTATGAAACTTCTTCTGATGTTAGAGTGATGATACGGTCCAGTGAATGTACACCGTGTACTATAAAACTTTTACTGATGTTAGAGTGATGATACCGTGTAGTGACAGTTCACTCTGTACTATAAAACTTCTACTGATGTTAGAGTGATAATACGGTCCAGTGAATGTACACCGTGTACTATAAACTTTTTACTGATGTTAGAGTGATGATACGGTCCAGTGAATGTACACTGTGTACTAGAAAACTTCTACTGATGTTAGAGTGATGATACGGTCCAGTGAATGTACACTGTGTACTATAAAACTTCTACTGATGTTAGAGTGATGATACGGTCCAGTGAATGAACATCGTGTACTATAAAACTATTACTGATGTTACAGTGACGATACGGTCCAGTGAATGTACACTGTGTACTATAAAACCTTTACTGATGTTAGAGTGATGATACCGTTCAGTGAATGTACACTGTGTACTATAAAACTTCTACTGATGTTACAGTGATGATTAGGTCCAGTGAATGTACACTGTGTACTATAAAACTTTTACTGATGTTACAGTGATGATACGGTCCAGTGAATGTACACTGTGTACTATAAACCTTCTACTGATGTTACAGTAATGATTAGGTCCAGTGAATGTACACTGTGTACTATAAAACTTTTACTGATGTTAGAGTGATGATACGGTCCAGTGAATGTACACTGTGTACTATAAAACTTCTACTGATGTTACAGTGATGATTAGGTCCAGTGAATGTACACTGTGTACTATAAAACTTTTACTGATGTTAGAGTGATGATACGGTCCAGTGAATGTACACTGTACTATAAAACTTTTACTGATGTTACAGTGATGATACGGTCCAGTGAATGTACAACGTGTACTATAAGACTTTAACTGATGTTAGAGTGATGATACGGTCCAGTGAATGTACACTGTACTATAAATCTTTTACTGATGTTACAGTGATAATACGGTCCAGTGAATGTACGCTGTGTACTATAAAACTTCTACTGATGTTAGAGTGATGATGCGGTCCAGTGAATGTACTCTGTGTACTATAAAACTTTAACTGATGTTACAGTGATAATACGGTCCAGTGAATGTACAACGAGTACTATAAGACTTTAACTGATGTTAGAGTGATGAGACGGTCCAGTGAATGTACGCTGTGTACTATAAAACTTCTACTGATGTTAGAGTGATGAGACGGTCCAGTGAATGTACAACGAGTACTATAAGACTTTAACTGATGTTAGAGTGATGATACGGTCCAGTGAATGTACACTGTGTACTATAAAACTTTTACTGACGTTACAGTGATGATACGGTCCAGTGAATGTACACTGTGTACTATAAAACTTTAACTGATGTTACAGTCATGATATGGTCCAGTGTATGTACACCGTGTACTATAAAATGTTTGTGGTGTACCTGTTAAATGCTGGTTTTACAAGGAGTATTTCAGTGGTGAACTTGCTGACACTTACCATCCTACAACTGTTTATTTAAAGTCAGGGTGTAGTCTTGTAAATATACACATTGTTTGCATACATGTCAAACGTGAGCTTCAGTATGGAGGATTAACATGTAAATATCTACTACCTAAACATCTGAACTCTGTGTCAGCCCGTACATGTTTGGATATTTTATATTTGTCAAAATATATCAAACAGGAAACCAAAATGTCGGTATGTACTATATCAAATTTCTTTTTCTTAACAATACAAAATTTTAAATACAAAAGTTGTCATGCAACTGGTCTCAAAATAACTCATGAGTCCCATTGTCAATATCAATCTAATTAAAATTATATCTTCACATCGCTCCCGTTTCCTTTCAACAAATTTGTTGCCTTTAATTCTGACATGGCTCGGAATCCATAGTAATGTTATTTTTAGAGTTTTTTAAGATACGAGATATTCAATGTAAACGGGAGCGATGTTAAGATATAATTTTAATTAGATTGTGGCAATATAGGCATAACCTTGCCCAGACTTTCATAACTTCCTATATATTTTGCTTTGTTATCTGATTTTTTCTTTCAAGTAATTCCCCGAATTTTGTTTTGAGTCTGAAGAAAGACCTTCCTTAATATCATTTCTATAATTTGATTTCACACAATTTTTTAAATGTTTATTACAGATATATTGCATTCAATATTTAAACATCAAGTGTGATACTCTCATTTTGTGGGACTGTTTTAAAGGTAGACTCTGACAAGGTGTCTATCATTGCTTTTACACTCTGGAAATGCTATTTTTATACATCTACATGTACATGTTTTAAAGGACTGTATAGAATTTTGTGTTAGGACAAATGTTGTTTATATTAAAAAAATAGTGTGTAGTTACTTAGTCTTTTCAAGTTTTATGCTTGTTAGAGGAAAGATAACACCAATTAAGTACATGTAATAGGTAGTGTCATAAATGTTGAGTTATTATTTAAAGTTGATGAATAACTTTATGATCAGTATTTGAAAACAGTGTCATTGTTACATGAACTTTTACTTATAATATGATATTACTATTATGATATCAATAATATTCAGACACTTGTTTGCTTTTAGAATGGGGTGAAAGAAAAACCGTTGTATGAGCCAAGTATACTACACGACATAGATTTTGAAGGAAACCACTGTTCAACATATAATCCAGAGATATCTCACACCAATCCAGGAGAGGGACTGCTGATGAGGCCTCTCTGTAGGGAGGATTATGATAATGGTAAATGTTTCTACACAGGTCCAGGGGCAGGTCTAGTGATAAGGCCTCTGTGTGGGGAGAATAATGATAGAGGAAAGATCTCCACACAGTTCCAGGGGAGGTCTAGTGATGAGGCCTCTGTGTGGGGAGAATAAGGATAGAGCCAAGATCTACACACAGTTCCAGGGCAGGTCTAGTGATGAGGCCTCTGTGTGGGGAGAATAATGATAGAGGTAAGATCTACACACAGTTCCAGGGCAGGTCTAGTGATAAGGCCTCTGTGTGGGGAGAATAATGATAGAGGTAAAATCTCCATACAGTTCCAGGGCAGGTCTAGTGATGAGGCCTCTGTGTGGGGAGAATAATGATAGAGGTAAAATCTCCATACAGTTCCAGGGCAGGTCTAGTGATGAGGCCTCTGTGTGGGGAGAATAATGATAGAGGAAAGATCTCCACACAGTTCCAGGGCAGGTCTAGTGATAAGGCCTCTATGTAGGGAGGATTATGATAGAGGTAAGATCTACACACAGCTCCAGGGGAGGTCTAGTGATGAAGCCTTTATGTAGGGAGGATTATGATAGAGGTAGATATTTTCACACAAGTCCAGGGGAGGTCTAGTGATGAGGCCTGTATGTATGTAGGATTATAATAGAGGTAAGATCTCCATACAGGTCCAGGGGAGGTCTAGTGATGAGGCCTCTATGTAGGGAGGATTATGATAGAGGTAAGATCTACACACAGTTCCAGGGTAGGTCTAGTGATGAGACCTGTATGTAGGGAGGATTATGATAGAGGTAAGATCTCCACACAGTTCCAGGGGAGGTCTAGTGATGAGGCCTCTATGTAGGGAGGATTCTAATAGAGAGAAGATCTCCATACAGGTCCAGGGGAGGTCTAGTGATAATGCCTCTATGTAGGGAGGATTATGATAGAGGTAGATATTTTCACACAAGTCCATGAGAGGTCTAGTGATGAGGCCTCTATTTAGGGAGAATTATGATAGAGGTAGATATTTTCACACAAGTCCAAGGGAGGTCTAGTGATGAGGCCTGTATGTAGGGAGGATTCTGATAGAGGTAAGATCTCCATACAGGTGAAGATTTAGTTATGATACCACAAAGTGAGATAAATGAAAATGATGTGAAAGCTATTGACATGCATTGGCTACCCAGTATCCACTGTTTCTGGTACCTATGTCTTACCTAAATGCTGATACATAAGAAGAAAATATATTAGAACCCATATTTACAAGATAAAAATACAATGATTGATTTGTCTTGTCTGTGCATCAAAACCTATCTGATTTATTTCACAGGATACATACAGCTACTTAGCCAACTTACCACTGTGGGGGATATCAGCAGGGAAGAGTTTGATGGTAAGTTATACCAAGTTATAATTCATCTGTTTGTAGATGAAGTTTATATCTAGTATGTACTAGGAGGTTTGACCCATACAGGTCTGAAGATTATTTTGTCCAAATTAAGCCATCATGTACTTTCAGGGACATAGAGGGATTATTGTAAAAGCGTCATAATAGTATTGTCTCACACCTTGTAGCAATTTTGCCAAAATAAGGCTGCTTTCCTTAGAAATTCATTGAATAAAAGATGCCTCACTGCAACAATCAGGGTGACTGATGTTATTTCTACAACCTATATAGTTATGGGGGGGGGAGGGGGAGGTATACTGGAATCACTGTCTGTATGTCCGTCCGTCTGCCTGTTTGAAGACATTTTTTTTTACCTCCTGTTCCTCCTAGGTTTATGCATGGATTTTGATGAAACTTTACACAAATGTTATACCTCAAATGAACTTGTGTCTTTCAAAACGCCATAATGTTCCTTTAATATTTACCAGAGTTATGGCCCTTGATTTCTGTAGATGGTACATTATGTTACTGAAATGGCTAATTATCCCGAAAATGGTAGGTATTTTGTATACACATATACATTGTAATGTTGTTGGCATTAATGAAAGCTACTTTTTTGACCAATTTTTGAGGTCATGTGGTCAAAGGTCACGAATGAATTATGTTACTGAAATAGCTAATTATCTCGGAAACAGTAGGTATTTTGTATACACATTTACATTAGAGTATCATAGTCAATTATGCAGGCTATATTGTGACAAAATTCCAAGGTCATGAGGTCAAAGGTCACAGATGCATTATGTTACTGAAATGGCTAATTATCACAGAAATGGTAGGTATTTTCTATACAAATACCCATAGGTGACAGTTTTAGTAACATGTGGATATACATTTTTGTAACTAAAGCAAGTATATGCAAAACAGTTGTTTAGCTGATAAGAGGTCTGTAGGAATCATAAATCCAGAGTAGACAATAACATGGTACTGCAGATAGTTCCAGTAATCAATTTATCTTTAATTTAGCTTCTTTAAGTTACATCACTTCTGAGTGTCGCATTAACAGGCAAGTCATTGTGTTACCTTCCTGAGGGCAATGTTCCTGCTTGATTGTGGTATTCCACTGCATGTTTTAAAATGCAACTTACTTCAGGTCCCCACCCCGCTCTCCCTTCCTTGTTGATTAGGTATTGGTTTCTTCTGTGTCTTTCTGATTACCTAGGGGACATTGGAGAGACCAGGAACAGATCGGTTATATCCCACTGTCTGCATGTGTTTCGTAAGAGGTGACTAATATGGACCCCCCTGCAAGATTGGATATTTTCTTCTGTGTCTTCTGTGTAGAGAACATTGAAGAGACCAAAATTCGTCTTTTGCCCTCATTGCAACATTTGGGAATCTTATTCTTTTCTTTTCTATCTTGTCTACCCTTTCCTTTTGGCAATGTCTTCATAGGCATTCGTTTTCAAATGAACATGGCCGGCGAACTGTTCAGTCATCAACAGTATCGAGCGTCTCTCACGTGACAAGATGACAGAGTTATGGGTAGGGTAATCTGCATGTGATCTCTGTGTTATGTTTTGATTATCTCCTTATGATAATTACAATATTATCGCCTGTTATTTAATTACTATTTTTGGTAAAACAACATATTTGGTAAACTCTCTCCCTAATGTCATAGCTTTAAATATACCTATTGCAGCCTTGTATGATGTGTTTATGTTGTCAGCCCGTTATAGGAGTATGGACGACTGTCTGGACAGTTATTACATCACTGTGATAGAGGACACCAGTACCGGCCAAGTTATAGCATCAGGAACTCTCGTCAAGGAACAGAAGTTTATACATAAATGTTCAGCTGTGAGTTTAAACATTACTGAGAGCTTGAGATAAATATTTTCTTAATGAAATAGTTTGAACATGTTTAATATTGATATCATATCACATTCAGATCAAGGTAAAAGTTTCAGTTAAATTCTTAAGTCGATATTCTCATTCATCATTATTTTATGTGTCATGCAAGAGCATTCAAACTGTCTCTGATGACCAGCTAAATTGTTCTCACTAAATATCTGTTTGAAATGATGTGCCGTGTCAGTACTGGAAATAATAAAAGTAATGTAGTCATTTGTTAGTTGTCTCTGTGTTAATTATATTCATGTCAAGTGAAATGCCTGGTGATTTTGTTTAGGGAAGTAAAGGAAGCTTGGGTATTTTCGAATGTATGAAGACTTCTATTGGCATACTGTTTTAATTTCTATTATATCTGCAGTCTTATCCTCTTGTTGAAAACCACAGATATGGCAGTAGCAAAAACAAGCTGGTATCGTATACAATATGTTAATGATTGCTGGTTACAGTAGGACAGTTTATCAGGGTTTATTCTATTGCAGAGAGGGAGAATAGAAGATATAGTTGTAGATGATAAATATAGAGGACGACAACTTGGAAAATTGTAAGTACCATATTGTGTAGTATAATTTTAGTAAGGGCAGACAACTAGGCCATATGTATGTAATCCATAGTTTATATGGTATTTCATCAGAAGTGGGGAGACAACTGGGCCAGACGTACTTAATCCATCAGACAACTGGGAAACATTTAAGTAATCCACCATCTTATGTGGTATACTGTTTGTAAGGGTAGACAACTAGGCAATATGTACTTAATCTATCTCATTATTTAGTATACTGTTTATAAGGGGAGATAACTGGGTAACAAGTAATCAACCATCTTATGTAGTAGAGTGTATACTGTCAGTAGGGGCAGACAACTGGGCCAGTTGTACTTAATCGAGCAAAATTGAAGGGGAGACAACTGGGCAACACAAAATAAATGTAATATTTTATGTAGTATACTGGTCGAAGGGTAGATACCTCTTCAAGTTGTAAGTAATTCACTCTATTCAATTCATAGGATATCTTGTATAAATAAATCTGAATAATTTTTAAAAGACTTCTCCTGAATAAGCATGAAATATAAATGTGTAACCTGTATGTTATTTAACAATAATTACCATGCATTTATTGGTGTACCTATAAAGAATCATCACATATACATATCCTGTGATATATTAACATGTATGCATTCATTGATATACAGATGCTATATTCTACGTTGGCCTTTCTCTACAGAATACTGGATGTGTTGACAATACTGAGTAAAAAGGTGGGCTGCTACAAGGTGTCCCTCGAGTGCCTAGACAAACTGGTTCCCTTCTACTCCCAATTTGGATATAAGACGGAGGACAAGCAGAACTACATGTGTCGACGTTACAATGACTAGTCCTCCGCCTACATCCTCTTTCTGCTGTATTTCATTTGCTGGTTCACTACTTGTATGTGGTCAGTCTGTGATATTTACTGGTGACTGGTATAGTTGATGTGACTGGTCAGAAAAACTACAGATGTATACATGGGGTGTCTGGTCAGAAAATTCCTGATATACACACAGACACGGGAGTTTCTGGTCAGAATAACTTCAGATGTATAGACAGGAGTTTGTGGTCTATCATACAATGGAAGTAAGATATGATAGAATATAACAAATAGACAACAACTCTACTACTATTTTTCATTGATATTTACCACAACAATACTATTCTTCATTGATCTTTACCACAACAATACTATTCTTGTATGATCTTTACCACAACAATACTGTTCTTGTATGATCTGTACCACAACAATACTTTTCTTCATTGATCTGTACCACAACAATACTATTCTTCATTGATCTGTACCACAACAATACTATTCTTCATTGATCTTTACCACAACAATACTATTCTTGTATGATCTGTACCACAACAATACCATTCTTGTATGATCTGTATCACAACAATACTATTCTTGTATGATCTGTATCACAACAACACTATTCTTGTATGATCTGAAATGATCTGAACCACAAGAATTTTTGTAGGATGTGAACCAAAGAAACACTATTCTTGTGTGACCTCAATCACAAAATCTCATGTCATCATCTCTATTAGCCCCGGGCACTGGTCCAGAGGAATTATACACCCCTGTTTTAACATCTGAATCACATGGCTACAAGGCTGTTCTTGTTTACTACTCAATTGCGGGTCTTTTTCTAGCTTTATGACAGGATCGGCTTCACATTTTCATTTATATTTCATTCATCACTCACCTGTCACAGCTTTAATTGTTATGAATATATGCTTTTCAGTCTTTTGTACCCTAACCAATCATTTTGAAATCTCTATTATACAGGAATATTTTGGTTGCTATATAGTGTAAAATGTGTATATTCAGATGATATCTTGCCTAGTCCGTAAATATGCACAAATAGACAAATCATATGAGATAATGAAATTTGTGTAGTGTTAAATTTGTGTGACATTTTAAGGTTCAATAAACTATATAGGGTTGTACATAACATGTGATCAACACTTCCTTTACTACTGGTTTGCATTTAGAGTTTTTAGTAGTGCTTACTCTTCCTTTATCCTACATGTTAATCCTGCTTTTTTATGATTCTGTTGTGTATTATGTAACTATGGTAGTATTAATATGAGGAATCGTTTTTGTGAAAAAACCCTCTAATACTGTATACCGGGAAGTTTTGCCCAGTCAAATTAGCGCCCTTCAATAGTAAAATCAATTATTGCCCAGTATCAAATACACCCTTCACATTTAATTACTATGTCTATCATGTTGTTTACAAATGCACACTGTAATGATAAATTGGCACTCATAATGAAGGGCGAAAATTCAGTTGCAGCAAAAATTTCCCAGTTTACAGTAGTGCCCCATATGTTAATATGTAGGGATCTTATTTACAAATACAGTACAATCAATTATATTACATGTAAAAAGTGTTTTAGAGTTACCTTAAAGTTGTCCATAGCCCGATCTCGAAATACCCAGTACTGTGTGGTGTATAGTAAAGTTTTGCAAGGTCAGATATTTCTGTAACTTTGAATGTAAAAGTATTTTCAACAACTTGATGCAATGAAATGCTACATATTTAAGGTCTTCAAGTGGTAGATGCACCAGTGATAGAAATCAAAATCTTATGCAAAAAATGGTGAAAAGAGTAGTGTGTGTACTGGTAACTATTGCAAAGGGATATCACTTCTGTGAGATGCAAGCATTAAAATCTCAACATGTGGTTGAGCTTTTGGAAATTCTCAACCTAAGGGACGGCTAATGGAAATTCTCAACCTCTGGGTGAGTTATTTAAAATTCTTAATTTAAGGGTGAGCCAAAGGAAATTTTAAATGTAAGGGTGAGCCAAAGGAAATTCACAACCTAAGGGTGAGCTATTGGAAATTCTCAACGTAAGGGTGGACTATTGGAAAAATTCTCAACCTACGGGTAAGCTATTGGAAATTCTCAACGTAAGGGTGGGCCATTGGAAAAATTCTCAACCTACGGGCGAGATATTTAAAATTCTTAATTTAAGGGTGAGCCAAAGGAAATTTTAAATGCAAGGGTGAGCCAAAGGAAATTCACAACCTAAGGGTGAGCTATTGGAAATTCTTAACCTAAGGGTGAGCTATTGGAAATTCTCAACGTAAGGGTGGACTATTGGAAAAATTCTTAATGTAAGGGTGAGCCAAAGGAAATTCTCAACCTAAGGGACGGCTAATGGAAATTCTCAACCTACGGGTGAGCTATTGGTAAATCTCAACCTAAGGGTGAGCTATTGGAAATTCTCAACCTACGGGTAAGCTATTGGAAATTCTCAACCTAAGGGTGAGCTATTGGAAATTCTCAACCTACGGGTAAGCTATTGGAAATTCTCAACCTAAGGGTGAGCTATTGGAAATTCTCAACCTACGGGTAAGCTATTGGAAATTCTCAACCTAAGGGTGAGCTATTGGAAATTCTCAACCTACGGGTGAGCTATTGGAAATTCTCAACCCAAGGGTGGGCTATTGGAAAAATTCTCAACCTACGGGCGAGCTAATGGATATTCTCAACCTATGGTTGAGTTATTTAAAATTCTTAATGTAAGGGTGAGCCAAAGGAAATTCTCAACCTAAGGGTGGGCTAATGGAAATTCTCAACCTAAGGGTGGGCTAATGGAAATTCTCAACCTAGGGGTAAGCTAATGGAAATTCTCAACCTAAGGGTGGGCTAATGGAAATTCTCAATCTAAAGGTGGGGTAATGGAAATTCTCAATCTAAGGGTGATCTAATGGGGAAAAAAATCTCAACCTACAGGTGAGCTAATGGAAATTAGCTAATTCTCAACCTAAGATTGAAATTTTTCGAAGTTTAGCATGAGGCTGTATAACCTAAGAGTGTTTTCTTATTTGATCAGACCTTGGTGTATTATAAATAGAAAAGAGGATTTGTGGCATGACAAATTCATTATAAGTGTTTTAGGCAAGCTCTATAGGCTAATATAACCTATGTGAGATTACTATTTCCCACATAGACTGGTGTATTTATTATTATATTTATTCTGTAGCAAATACATGTTTCATTACTTTCACTCACACTTTATTGCTCTGATAACTAAAGTTTGGGATAACCGTGCTTAGCACTGCTTTTTGAGATTTGCAGCCATCTATTGTGATTATACTGTTGCAAATTGGATTTTACTGTGCATGAAGTCAAAATCACCGACTCAAATATCTCAAATACCTGGATATCTCAATATCAGATTTTCTCTCTCCCAGAGCTGACGTCTCCAATACCTGGATATTTCCATATCAGATCTTAGCTCCATTTAGAACTGATAACTCTATTACCTGGATATCTCCAAGTCAGATTTTAGCTCCCTTTAGAGCTGATATCTCCAATACCTAGATATCTCCATATCAGATCTTAGCTTCCTTTAGAACTGATATCTCCAATACCTAGATATCTCTAAGTCAGGTCTTAGCTCCCTTTAGAACTGATATCTTCTATACCCAGATATCTCCATATTAGATCTTAGCTCCCTTTAGAGTTGATATCTCCAATACCTGGATATCTCCAAATATGATCTTAGCTCCCTTCAGAGCTGATATCTCCAATACCTAGATATCTCCAAGTCTGATCTTAGTTCCCTTTAGAACTGATATCTCCAATACCTGGATATCTCTGAGTCAGATCTTAGCTCCCTTCACAGTTGATTGCTATGTATTTTACTTGGATAAAATATCTAGTTTATTATTTTTCTCTCGGGAATCACACTACTGGGGATATGATCAGGGTTTTTTGTACTGGTTATTGCTGAATAACAGGTTCATGTGATCATGTGTTATTTTTTCACTGTCACAAAGGGACCGTATTAAGATTGTGTGGCATGACAGGCCAGTACAAGTACATAGTAGTTGGCAGAAAGTTTAGTAGATGTTTTGATTTTCATCTACACATGTACTGTTAAAATCACACAATAAAATCACAATGAAAATTACGTGTTATGCAAGACTATAAGGTGTCTGTTTATCCTGACTGTTTGTTACGATAGGTCAAGATTGTTTGGGATATTGATGTGTTTATTTTGAGATATTTTTTGGGAGATATATATATTTTAATACTAAATGTAAACTAACTTGATATTGTAACCTTATTATTACAAGCATTAATTACCAGGTATGTTTAATTGTGTAAACCTTTTTACAAACTGACTATTATTTTAAACTTATTATCAATTACATTGTACAATATTATTGTAACCAGCTATTTGTTAGGTTTATTTATTCATGACAGATAGGTTTCTTTTTTATTGATTTGTTTATAAAATGATAGAATTGGATCTCGCTCATGTAATAAAAATGTGCAATTTGTTTTGCATAATTGTCTATGTTTACTTAAGTGAATCTCCACAACCAAAGATATTTATAGTTATTTACACTGTATATGATCTACACACATTATTTTGTCTATATCAATTTGTTGATACGTCTTTTTGTCTTGATTAAATTCTAGAATATATTTATTTTAAAACCATTGATGATTATCAAATGACTTGTAGCAGTGATGAGTACGGGGCAGGTCCCTAGTCAAGTGGTACAGTGATTGTTTTTGCGTCTTAAAGTCCTGTAATTTACAGACTGTTAATGAATATTTCAGAACTGTGCATCCAGAATGTCATAATTTAAAAATATTTTTATATTGCATGTTTTCATTTTGAATGCCCTGACTTAAAGTTTATTTATGAAATTTAATATTTTAAAAAATATCCTAAATTTTAATTCATTTACACACTTATGTATATTCTGTTATTAGTTAAATACAATATTAATCATATAGTTGTCAGTGATATGAGTTGTTTTGCATGTGCAATAAAGCTAGCATTGCATAGGCTGTATCCTGAACCAACCCATATCCACCCAAACAGTACTCTATATTCGCCTGGTTCATGCCATATCTGCCTTGTACACACAGTTTCTGTTTTCTAGAAAAATCATGTCTCAATTTCTCTTAATTTGTGTCATTGCTTATCGTTTTGATGTTGTACTCAAATATTCAAAAGGACATTATTGTGTAAAAGAATTATTGTATCCAATCTGTTTGCCTTTCATTATGTGCACAAGAACGTACAATAAGCATTATCGAAGATAGTGATAATGGCTCCAATCAATGAGTCTTATTTCAATTGAAATTAGATATATTCATTTACATTCAGTATTATTACACATGAATCCAAGAATTCCAATCAAACATCAAATTTCGTTTCAATAATTGAAAATATTGATGCAAATTATGCTTTAAACAATTTGACTATAGTAAGAGGTGCATAGAGAATTTGATATGAAACATAGAATTAATTACATTTTTAGTCCCATAAACTGAGTGTACCTCATATATATGTACAACAGTCTGATTTGGAGTAGATCAACAAGTATGGGATATGTGTCATGATAAGAATGATCTTTATATCACCTGCATGTGGGGCACATGTAGAACATGCTTGTAGGAAATAACGTTTAAAATTGATTCAATATATATTAGAAGATCTATATAATAACTGATGTAAATAGGGTATGGAACTTTGTACATTCATTCTTGAGAGGGCTTTCTAGGTACATATTGTACATGCAATCAGTTATATTCAGTGAGAATTTGTGTTGTGTTAACCATTATAAGCACACCGGGGTTTGTACTCTGTAGACCAAATGTTAAGGATCCCCGTACTAGGTAGTACTTGAGACCAGGTGCTCTACAGATGTATCCAACAGGAGATTAAGGGGAGGTCACTGTAGATACGAAAAACTACAATTAAGTTCTCTAGTGTTTTGCCTACAGTGGGTCAGGAATCCTAAATACTGCCTAATCAAATTAATGTCTCTCACAAAATAGCACTGATTGCAGCAGTACACTAGTGTAGTTGAACCAAGGTTAAAGGTTCCATGGTAGGAAAAACTATGTTCTTTTGACATTAGATCAGCAGGTTAGATGTATTTCTGTACGAGTAATATACTATGTAACAGATGTCATGATAAACAGAGCATGCAAGTTAATAAAGTACCAAGTTACTAAAGAAAGTGTTGTCTTACTCTGTGAACAAAGACTGGTAGTGTTGTGTTGTAAACACAGACTTGTAGTGTTTCTAGTGTTGTGTTGTATTGTAAACACAGACTTCTAGTGTGTCTAGTGTTGTTGTATTGTAAACACAGACTGGAAGTATTGTGTTGTAAACACAGACTTGTAGTGTTGTTTTGTAAACAAAGACTGGTAGTGTTGTGTTGTAAACAGACTTCTAGTGTGTCTAGTGTTGTGTTGTATTGTAAACACAGACTGGAAGTGTTGTGTTGTAAACACAGACTTGTAGTGTTGTTTTGTAAACAGACTGGTAGTGTTGTGTTGTAAACAGATTTCTAGTGTGCCTAATGTTGTGTTGTATTGTAAACACAGACATTTAGTGTTGTATTGTAAACACAGAAATTTAGTGTTGTTTTGTAAACAAAGACTTGTAGTGTTGTGTTATAAACACAGACTTCTAGTGTGTCTAGTGTCGTGTTGTATTGTAAACACAGACTGGAAGTGTTGTGTTGTAAACAGAATCGAGTGTTGTTTTGTAAAACCAGACTTGTAGTGTTGTATTGTAAACACATACTGGAAGTGTTGTGTTGTAAACACAGACTTGTAGTGTTGTTTTGTAAACAGACTGGTAGTGTTGTGTTGTAAACAGATTTCTAGTGTGCCTAATGTTGTGTTGTATTGTAAACACAGACATTTAGTGTTGTATTGTAAACACAGACATTTAGTGTTGTTTTGTAAACAAAGCCTTGTAGTGTTGTGTTATAAACACAGACTTCTAGTCTGTCTAGTGTCGTGTTGTATTGTAAACACAGACTGGAAGCGTTGCGTTGTAAACAGAATCGAGTGTTGTTTTGTAAACCCAGACTTGTAGTGTTGTATTGTAAACACAGACTGGAAATGTTGTGTTGTAAACACAGACTTGTAGTTTTGTTTTGTAAACACAGACTTGTAGTGTTGTGTTGTAAATCCAGACATGTAGTGTTGTATTGTAAATCCAGACAAGTAGTGTTGTATTGTAAACACCGACTTGTGGTGTTGTGTTGTAAACACAGACTTGTGGTGTTGTATTGTAAATCAAGACATGTAGTAATGTGTTGTAAACGCAGACTTATGGTGTTGTGATGTAAACACAGACTTGTAGTGTTGTATTGTAAATCCAGACATGTGGTGTTGTATTGTAAACTCAGACTGGTAGTAGTGTTGTGTTATAAACAGACTTATGGTGTTGTGATATAAACACAGACTAGTAGTGTTGTATTGTAAACACTGACTTGTGGTGTTGTATTGTAAACACAGACTTTTGGTGTTGTGATGTAAACACAGACTTGTAGTGTTGTATTGTAAATCCAGACATGTGGTGTTGTATTGTAAACACAGACTGATAGTAGTGTTGTGTTATATACACAGACTTTTGGTGTTGTGATATAAATACAGACTGGTAGTGTTGTATTGTCAACACAGACATGTGGTGTTGTAGTGTATACACAGACTGGTAGTGTTGTATTGTAAACACAGACTTGTGACGTTGAAGTGTAAACACAGACTGGTAGTGTTGTATTGTAAAAACTGACTTGTGGTGTTGTATTGTAAACACTGACTTGTGGTGTTGTGTTGTAAACACTGACTTGTGGAGTTGTGTTGTAAACACTGACTTGTGGTGTTGTGTTGTAAACACTGACTGGTGGCGTTGAAGTGTAAACACTGACTTGTAGTGATGTATTGTAAACACAGACTTGTGGCGTTGAAGTGTAAACACAGACATGTGGCGTTGAAGTGTAAACAGACTGGTAGTGTTGTATTGTAAACACTGACTTGTGGTGTTGTGCTGTAAACACTGACTTGTGGTGTTGTGTTGTAAACACTGACTTGTGATGTTGTGTTGTAAACACAGACTTATGGCATTGATGTGTTAACAGTCTTGTTGCGTTGTAGTGTAAACAGACTTGTGGTGTTGATGTGTTAACAGACTTGTGGAGTTGTAGTGTAAACAGACTTGTGGTGTTTATGTGTTAACAGACTTGTGGTGTTGTAGTGTAAACAGACTTGTGGTGTTTATGTGTTAACAGACTTGTGGTGTTGTAGTGTAAACAGACTTGTGGTGTTGTGTTGTAAACACAGACTTCTGGCATTGATGTGTTAACAGACTTGATGCGTTGTAGTGTAAACAGACTTGTGGTGTTGTATTGTAAACACAGACTTGTGGTGTTGTGTTTTGTTGTAAACACATACTTGAAGTGAACCTTTGTTTAATTTCGTAAAAACACAGTACTTCCATTTTACAAGGATTTGACCTCATTTCTACAGATTTTTCCAGGTCTTGCCTCATCGACACAAAGTGCCCCGAGTCTCACCCCAATGACAGAATAATCTCGGAGACACTCGCACATATCCTTACTCTGGTCTATTTACTCAGATTACCCCTAGTCTGGTTCTTTTTACAAAGAATGCAACCAGGTCTCATCCTTTTCACACAGAATGCTCCAAGGCCTGGTCCCATTGACAAGTAAAGCTGGCGGCCCCCTGGTCTTGTTCTATGGGCACAGAACTATATATATACATAATTCTCTCAGGCCTGGTCCCATTGATGCAGAATGCCTCTAGGTCTGATTAAAGGTAGAGTGCCCCTGAGTTTGATCCCATTGACACTTAATGCAACCAGGCCTGGACACATTGACAAACAAGAGAGAGCCGCCAGGGGCAGTATATACCCCTGAAAAAGTCCCATGCAGGATCTTCTATAAAATCCACCATGAATTTGTGTTAAAAAAGGACAGGAAACTCGCACAGAAATCTGTACAATCTGTTTTACATGAATTCTATGTAAATATGCAACTTATTCTCTGTAATGCAGATTTGGTACAATCATCCATTTACAAGTTACACTGAAGTCTAGTAGAGTATATCTGCTAGGGCTACCTATACACTAAGATTAACATTATATGACAATTTGTTTTCAAGTTATCATTTGTACGTAAACATTTACCTGTATAAGTGATAAGTACACGTATGTAAATGTCTACATTTACCTGAAGAAGTCCATATTTTACACTCACTTGAGTTGGCCGGTTGTGCAGGCTCAGAAGCATGTAGCAAGTCGGTTATTACATGATTTCTCGTCACAAGCTTCACTTGGTTTAATGAATTCCTTATAATTCAAAAATCGTGTAATAATCCATAAATGTACATACTGGGTAATGGCACATTAGGCAAGTGCAGGCTAGTACATGACTGTTGAGTGTAAATAATTTAAAACTAGTCAAAACAGTTTAACGTCATGAATTTATTACACTTCATATTAGATATTATTAAAGGTCCGGTAGAGACACACATACAATTTATAAACAAAGGTCAGGTAGAGACACACATACAATTTACAAACAAAGGGCAGGTAGAGACACACAACTCTACAAACAAAGGTCAGGGAGAGACACACAACTTTACAAATAAAGGTCAGGTAGAGACACAAATACAATTTATAAACAAAGGTCAGGTAGGGACACACAACTTTACAAACATAGGTCAGGGAGAGACACACACACAACTTTACAAACAAAGGTCAGGTAGAGACACACACAACTTTACAAACAAAGGTCAGGTAGAAATACACATACAACTTTACAAACAAAGGTCAGGTAGAGACACACACAACTTTACAAACAAAGGTCAGGTAGAAATACACATACAACTTTACAAACAAAGGTCAGGTAGAGACACACACAACTTTACAAACATAGGTCAGGTAGAGACACACACACAACTTTACAAACAAAGGTCAGGTAGAGACACACAACTTTACAAACAAAGGTCAGGTAGAGACACACACACAACTTTACACGGCAAGCAGTCATCATGGACACTCCTTGTCCACTTTCAAATGTGCAGAAACATATACTTACTAGTTTTAAATCAGCCTGAACAAGTTTTTAGTTGTATATAATTACAAAGATTCCAGCATATTTCTCAGTCACTCCATTGCCTTGCCTTAATAGATCTACCATGTTAAACAATGTGGAATACATTTCAGAAAGTAAAACCATAGTCCTCATAAGCAGTTTCTTCTAAGTGATTTGCATCATTTAAAACAGCTATATAGTCGATCTCGAGTTTGAATGGCCCCTCCACACTGTCGGCAATTGTGATCCCGATGTTTTCTACGTTGTGAAGGTCAAGCATTTCCTGGCTATCCTGGGTACGGCCTTTGTTGGAGAAAAAAAATTTGGAGAATGGAATCTACAATGAGAACCAAAAACTTTTATTGTAATAGTAGTAAAGAGAATAGCGAGAAACAGTAAATAATAAATAATTTTACAAATATGCCACACTCTAAGCAGTAACCTCAGCTAAATGTGTAAGTGTAGATGAGTCCCTACATTTAGTGTATGTGTAATTACCATGACTATTTGCCAGTGGCGACCCCCCTTAAGTATAAAATGTGTAATTACCATGACTATTTGCCAGTGGGATCCACCCTGAAGTATAAAATGTGTAATTACCATGACTTTTTGCGAGTGGGAGCCCCCCTCAAGTATAAATGTGTAATTACCATGACTATTTGCCAGTGGGAGCCCCCCTTAAGAATAAAATGTGTAATTACCATGACTATTTGCCAGTGGGGACCCCCCTGAAGTATAAAATATGTAATAACCCAGGTTATTTGCCAGTGGGAGCCCCCCTTAAGTACACAAGAGGCCCAGATGGCCTGTATCGCTCACCTGTTTCTTTTGTTACATGCAACTGACATATAGGTAACTTAAGACCATTTGGTAACTAGAACCCAAGACATTTTAACATCTCCAAAACGGTTCTGACGGTTCTGAAGATATTGTTGTTTGAAACTTAAAATATTAGTTTTAAAGCTTTTAACCAAAGTTGACATTTGACCCCTGACTAGCATTTATAGTTGACCTTTGACCTCATAACTGTAACTGAGAAAAATATACGAACTGCTGGTCTACATAACATACCCAAATATCATAACTCTAGTTCAAATGGTTCTTAGGATATTGTTTGAAATTTTTAGCATATTTAACCGCTGTGACATTGAAAGTAGGTCAAGGTAATTTTAATGAGGAAACTTTATAGCACTCAATCCCAGGTACCTACTGGCCAAATATCATGACCAATGGCCTTATGGAACTTGAGAAGAAGATTGTTAAAGCTTTTAACCAAAGTTGACATTTGACCCCTGACTAGCATTTAAAGTTGACCTTTGCCCTCATAACTGTAATTTAGAAAAATATTTGCACTGCTGGTCTACATTACATACCCAAGTATCATAACTCTAGTTCAAATGGTTCTTAGGATATTGCTGTTTGAAATTTTTAACATATTTGACCGCTGTGACCTTGAAAGTAGGTCAAGGTCATTTTAATGAGGAAACTTTATAGCATTCCATCCCAGGTACCTACTGGCCAAATATCATGACCCTAAGTCCTTTAGTTCTTCAGAAGAAGTCATTCAAAAGAAACAAGATACACAATGGGCCTGCATCGCTCACCTGGTATTAATCTCACACTTGTAATCTTAAAAGTGGACTAAAATACAGCTACAGGCAGAATATCAGTGTTTGATTCATAAGAACCTATTTAAGGATTTAAACATATGATGCCTGTGACCTTGAATGTCGAACATGGACATTAGGTTGAACAGAGTTTATAGTCTTCCAACACAGCATGCATCTGGCAAAATATCATTACCCTGGACCTTTTGGTTATATAGAACAAATCATTTAAAGATTTAAACATATATTGACCACTGTGACCTTGAATATGGGTGAAGGTCATTCACTTGGTAGTCCTTCATCCCAGCATGTTAATGGCCAAATATCATCACTCTTGAACTTTTGCTTATTAAGTAGAACTCATTCAATGGTTTTAAACATATTTGACCCCTGTGACCTTGAATATATATGTCAAGGTCATTCATTTGAACAAACTTGATAGTCCTTCATTCCAGCATGTTACTGGCATTATACTAGGC